GTTCAGGTAGGGAAATAGGAGTATCTAAGTGGGCTCTGTGATTGATCCTGATGAGTTACGTGTTGGTGTCTCTTGGAGTCAGAAGCCAGCTCCCAATACCTTGGATGACTTTGCCAGTCTCTTGAACCCATAGCACAGCCCCTGGGTCCCCACAGGATTAAGCTCTTAATACAGTTCATGAGCCGTTGTGCCACATTTACAAAGCTTGACCTCAAAAGCTGAATGTTTTTCCCAGGTTTCTTTACCTAGAAAAGCAGGCTTTTACTCAAAGTTTTTGTAGAAGCTCAACATTTTTATTTAAATATTTTAAGAAAATATAATAAATTTAGACCTTGACATATTTTGTATTAAACTCAGATTTTAATTTAAACTGATTTTTAAAAACAAATGATAATTTAATAACAAAATTTTAAAAATCTGATTTAAATAAAAAATCTGATTTTTTTTTAAATTCTCAATCTTTATCCACCGTGGATCAGGGGATTCTTGCTGAAATATTTGACAATACTTGACCATGGTGGTCAATTGACTGGCTTGCCAAGCCTACATTTAAGTAATGTAAAAATATTTGGGACCTGTTACTGCTTGAGCCTATCCTTATGAGTAAGAGCTAAAAATCAGACTTAATGTAACCAAGTAAAACCAGTGGAATTGCACAAGATCCGAGTATGACTTAAATATTGAAAAATGTTGATGGAATCCACTTAAATTTGCAGTACTATTTGTACTTACTAGCAGGCTCTTCACCATCACTATTAAATTAATAGTAAGAATACAGACTATTTCCTTGAAGTTTGATATGTAAAATTGTAAATCTTTATTTGAATGCTGAGTCAATTGGAATTAGGAAGCTTGGATCCAAAGAGGATCCTTTGTGCTTTCTTTCTAAACTAAAAGAGCATAATAGGATTTCTCATTTCTATTACTAGATGAAAATCATATATTAAAGACAACCCCTGCATGCTTATAACCTTTTTCTTTAATTTAAGAAGGCAGCGTATGTGTAATAGATTAACATCCAACATTATTTCATATCATATGCAACAACAATTTTTTATTTTAACAGTTTCACTGGTATCTGCAGATAAACTTATTGAGGATCAGCTCTGTGCCATAAGCTACAGAAGGAAAGATATCTCACCAATTCAGGACAGCAAAATGGATATTAATTTTCTTTAAGAGCAGGAATCTAGTTAAGCAAATAGAAAGGATGTATAATATAATACACAGAATGGAGAGATCTGTTGAATATTTCAATCAAAGAGCATGTAAAGGGAATACTAATATTAAAAAGGTGATGGTGCAACACTGACAGGCCCCGCTCGTCGGCAGGCGGGATCGAACCTGGAATCTCTGGAGCTAAACGCATGAGCCTCTACTGCAGCTAAAAGCCAGCTCTTAACTAAGGATATAGACTCATTAATCTCTCTCTAAGAGGTCTCAGTGCCACTAGATGGGACAGAAAACCAAACCCAGGATGTGTGTGGGTTACAATGGCATAAAGGTTTATTGGTGTAGCTGGGAATCCTACACATTTCTGACCTGCTGGAAGGTTATAAATACATAACCTTTGCCAATAAAAACCACATCTCTAGCCAGATCTCATCTCTGGCCTTTAAAAAAAAAAGTTACTAAAAAAAGTTGAATGTAGTGGCCATCATACATTTAATTTGTTTCTTATAAATTTTAAAAGTGATGTCATAAAATGCTTATGACCCACAAAGGAAGTGACAGGCAGCAGAATAAAACCTTAAACTAAGACAGAATAAGGAAAATTATATGAAAACAGAATAAGTCAACAAAGTTCTTTAATTATAAAACAGCAAGAGAGCAATACCGGATTTATCATGGGGCAATTGGCACCATGGCACCGGGCCATGGTCCAAAGGGGCCCCGGCCGCTCTTCTCCGCCCCCCACTCTCTCCTGCGGGTGCAGTGGGCAGAAGCTTGGTCCTGCTGGCTCCTGCTGCAGGGCAGGCTCCGCCGGCAGCCAACCTCACCCCTCCCCCGTCTCTTACCCGGAGTGTGCCGCGTTGGCTCACCTTACCTCAGATTACATCATTTGAAAGACAGATTGAAAGAACACAGGACAGAATTTAAAAACATATGGAAACCATATGTGGATTATATTAAGGATTTTGGAATTAAAGTATAAAACCGAGTATTACTATTGTATTGGTTCGATGAATTGCTATATGACCAAAGTTCATCTCTAAACAAGCATGCTTTCTTCAAATCATGCAGATTTTGTTTTGCCTGTCTGATAAAATTTGGGAGGTGTTTTGGGGATTCAGTATGATTATATTAGCTAATGAGTGTGTAGTTAATATGTCTGCAGGGAGGGATAATACAAATATTGATACAGACGTAGTCAAATGATTTTAAATTATTACAGCTCTCTTCACCTCTTCCTTATGCCAACCACAGATGCTAAGAAGATACATTACAGCAACTAACAAATTACAAGTAAACTTTGTAGTTTAATATATTTGTCACCAAATGTGAGGCGGTCCTGTGATGCTTCTGTATTAAAAACGCTGAACAAAAATAAGTAGTGTTTGTTCTTGTCCATCACAAAAGAATTTTAATAAAATGTAATCATCATCTGAATCCAAAGACTATCCCCTTTAATGACTGGGCTTCTACCCATCATTTTTGTTCATTAAAATAGGTTGAATTTTTATTGTACTACAAAATATATAGAATAAGATAATATCTGGCATACTTCATAATTCAGCTCTGGCCAAAATTTTCTAGCATAGGAGCTAAAGATAACCACTTTAATTAAAAGTGGCCTGATTTTTATAAGTGATCCACATTTACAGTTCCCACTGAAGCTGTTAAGAGTTGCAGATGATTAGCAACTTTAATGATCAGGACACTCTAATTTAGGTGCTTAAAGATGGATTTGGGTAACTAACTTTAGGCACCCAAATTTGAAAATGTTGGTCACCTGTGTATCTCTCTTAGTAAAAGCACATCTATTATCCAACAATTTAAAAAAAAAATCTTTTCAGATGGATATAGGCATTAAATATACTTATTTTGTTTTGGCTAATGCTGTGAGAGTATATAGTGCTGTTCAGTAAAAATCCTATGCAAAACAAGTAAGTTCTCTTCCCTAAAAGGTATAAGGGCCCAAGTTGTGCAGCACAGGAAATGCAAAACACCACAACACAGAAACAAGTGGACATTACTACTGAAATGATTCACAAAATGTGGGATTTTAAGGAGCTTTTTGAAGGAGGAGAGTGAAGGAGCTTTACGTACGTTAACTGGGAGGCTGTTCCTGTGTAGGAGGCAGCATGAAAAAAGACACAAAGTTGGGAGTGAGCAAAAGAGACAAAAGGGGAAGTTAGGAGTGATGCTTGGGAGAAATGGAAGGAACAAGGGGCTTGTAGAGGAAATGAGGCCAAAGGTTTAGGCAAGAACCAAGTTATGGAGAGTCTTGAATGTAACTAATTTTATGCAGAGGAAGAAGGAGAGTTCTTGTAAAGATTAAAAAGTGGAGAGACACGATCAGGTGCATAGGAAAGGAAAATTATTTGAACAGCACATGTTGCACAGAAAAGAGTGAGGAGAAAGTGAGAGGCCAGAAACAACTAGGGTAACAAACATTACATCTCAAATAATATATATCAATTAACTAAACTGGGACTATGACTAAATAACAGCCAGACACGTAAGGAGTGGTGAGAACATTAAAACATAGTGATTTCTCATCTATTAGCCATGTGATGGTTTGTTTTGTTTTTTGTTTTTTACACAATATGAATACCACATGCACAAAAAAATTAGAATAGTAAAGGTTGGTGAAAAGGGTTCTTGAACATGCCACTCAGTGCAGCAGTAAAATGGTTCTTGTGGTTACTCTAAAAAGCAAGTAAATTCAACTGATGGACAGAATTATTTAAATTCTATGCATGTAAAATTATAATATGTAGAATGGGAATATAACACTTAGTTATCACCTGTGTAGAGTACACACATTTTTTGTGTCACTTGACTTTGATGAAAAACCTTCTGAAGTGACTCAGTGCAAGACTGTCACCATGTCAGAGCAAGTTGATTCAACTAGATTATATGCAGGAGGATTAAATCTCATGACTTGATTCACTCTGATTTAAGTTTTCTTTTACTTTGTGCATAGTCTGTGTTTACTTTCCTTAGTAGTAAACTTCTGATAGTGTCTTGTATAAATAGCTCTCATTATCTAACATACTTGTAATTACAAGCAATTCAACAATCTGCCACTGACATTAAACATATCATTAGTAATGCTAACTTCCATATTAGTGATGCCGTCATAATAACATTGAGACTGACATTGGCAAGGACAGAAGTGGCAAGAACGTTTTCAAAGGAACTTATTCACCACAAATTATCCTTAGGATGTTTTGTTCTCTTCTGGGCCTGAACCAAGCCCCCAGATCTAAGCAACCCATATATTTTGGATGAGGAAATGGACCTTGAGAATCTGTACACAAATCAAAAACACATTTCATTTTAAAAAATCTCCAGAAATCATTTCATATCCTACTCTAAACTCAATAGAACAGGTCTCACTCATAGCAACATAAATTCAGACGTTAATAAACTTTGAAATTAGTGTATAAAACAACTGGATTTTGGTTTTCCGCACTAGATATTGATGAGGGAGGCCAGGAAATTAATCTCTCTCTCTCTCACTTAATTTTTGTAACAAAAGTAGCCAAAAGAAAGCATGGAAAGCATCTTCACACTTCTATTTTAGGGTGACAATTCGGGAAGCCCATAAACTATTCCTTCAAATATGGTAGGCATATTCAATTTTGCCTTCAAATCTAATCTCCATTTTTGAAGCTGATATGGCATTTTTCATGGATATTAGAGGGAAGGCCAAAATTGGGATTATAATAGATCCTCAGTTACAACCTTAACTATATTACATACAGACACATCTCAGTGTCACATATGAATGCTGTATAAATATTTCAAAAATACAGGAAATTTGCACTTACCCACAAATCATGTTCGGCATAATCGAACAGCAGCCAAACCTTTCTATCACTGTGAGAAAGGAAAACCTTCTGTAATGCAATCACATTGGGGTGCTTCAATTCTCGTAAAAGCTGTAAATAAAGACACAAAGAAGTCAGTATTTCTACAGCTACAAAAAACAACATTTACATGATTCCAGTTTGCAATGCAAAGTATCTAATGACAAAGGCAACTGTGTTACCAGAGCTGGAAACATGGATAACTAGGGTAGGTCATAGTCATGCAAGGTACTTGCAACAAAGTAAGTATGGTCCCATAGACAATATACCCAAAGCAATTCAGCACATTATTGTTATTAACTTCAGAAAGAGCTAGATTGCGCCCGGCTAGGACACGGATGCAGAGTGAGGTGCAGTAAGAAGAGCATAAAGAGCCGTCCCACTGAAGGGTCAAATAGAATTGGAGTTTAGGGGTGACTACATTTCTATTTCTATTGGGAGAAACACACATACCCTGGCTAGCCTCATAAATGTGTACAGCAGTGAACAACCTGTATATGTCAAGCATCTCAGGAAGGCAGACTGCACAGTGCCTCCTGGTGTTCCCCCTAGGGTGACCAGATGTCCCAATAAAATTGGGACTGTCCCAATATTTAACCCTTTGTCCCGCATCCTGATCAATGTACGATCGGGACACCATTTGTCCTGATATTCAGGTAAGGAGGCGAGCGGGAGGGAGGCGCCGACTCCATGGGTGCTCCAGGGTTGGAGCACCCATGGGGAAAAATTGCAGCCAAGCTCCCCCTCCTCACCTCCTTCTCCCTCCCTCCCCCCAGCACGCCGGGTCCCTGCTCCTTCCCCCTGCCAGCGCTTCCCGCTGCCTAATCTCTGTTTGGCGGCACGTAGCACTTTCCAGGAGGGAGGGGAGAGGAGCGGGGATGCGGCGCTCTCAGGAGAGGAGGTGGAGAAGAGGCAGGGCAGGGGTGGGGATTTGGGGGAAGAGGGTGGAATGGGGGCGGAGCAAGGGCGGATGTTTGGGTGGGCAGAGGCGGGGGGTGGGCGAGCACCCACCTGGCAGAGGGGAAGTCAGCGCCGTAGGGGTGAGTGGCGGGCGGGGGGAGGGGTGAAGAGGTGAGTGGAGGCTGAAGAGGCAAGCGAGCAAGCGGCGGACAGGTGGGGTGAGGAGGCGAGCGGTGGGTGGGTGGGTGGACTGAGGAGGGACGCAGCAAGCCAGCAAGGGGACGGGGGATGAGGAAGAGCACGGGGGGGGGGGGGAAGCCGAGCGGGAAGGGGGCGGGACATGGGGCAGACTGGGGGCGAAGACTGGGAGGAGTGGGGGTGGACTGTGGGCAGGGCTGACGGCACCCCAATGTGTCCCGATATTTTAGTGTTGTCATCTGGTCACCCTAGTTCCCCCTGGGTGGTGTGACTGTGCTTAAATGGCACAATTGAGCCTGAAGGATGTATATCATGCTGTGTGTTTAAGGCAGCAGTTTTTCATCACTGGCACATGGCTGTTATTAGTAAACATTTCTATTATTACACACACACACACACACCCTATGTTAAAAGGACATTAAGGTTGCAAAGTCAAACACTCAAAAGTTAAGAAACATCAGATACACAGGCAATCTTAATTCTATGTGGAGCAGCACTAGCGGGACATGAAACACACACTTTGCCACTGCATTTCACAGATATTTGCTGATTGCAGGGGAAAGGTGAAACTCAGGAATCTTGGGTTCCATTCCAGCCTCTGGACAGGAGTGTGCTCTAGGGGGCACAGAGTCTTCTACCCGTTCCCCACAAGCTTGACCCCTTCTGATACATCCACTCCAAACTGTCCACGTCCCCATCTTGACTCTTTCTCACTACTGACGCCTTTCCCCAGTCTCCTCGCTTAACCAGTCCCATCCCCCACTTCTCAGGCTTCCCATCCCAGTCCCAGGGCTCAGACAGCCCTAGTTTCCCCTTCTGGACTCATTGTCCCAGTCTTCCTCCTAGTCCCCATTCCTGGTCTGTGTTCCTTGCTCAGAGAATCCCAGGTCCCCCCCCCACACACCCAACTCTGTCCCCCGTCTCCTTGCCCAACCAGTTCCATTCCCCTACTCCTTGCTCCTCATCCCATCCATCTGTGTCCTCCGCATCCCAAATCCAGTTGCCTTCCTCCTTTCCCCCTCACAAACTCAGAGTCCCAGTCTCCTGGAATAGGATTCTTGCCCAATAGTCCCCTCACCACTACCACCACCACCTGGCTCCTTGTCCAGTCAGTCTCAGTTCTCCCCTCAGATCCTTGTCCAATCTCAGTTCCTCCCCATCCTCGTATCCTGGCTCATTGTCAGATCCCATGTCTCTTCCCCTCACCTCCTTTCCCCCACCTGACTGGTTCCCAGACTGTCTCCTTGCCCAACTAATTCCACTCTCCCTCCCACCCCTAGTTTCCCTCTCCCACTAAGGCTCCTTGTCCCAATCTGCTTCTCTCCACCCTTGGATCTGGCTCTTGTCTCCTGTGTATTTGAATCCAGCTGCTTCCTCCTCTATGCTGCCTGGGCCCAGGTGGGGCATCAGTGACTGCACAGGAGAGATGATCTCACTGCTATCAGTTTCTGTTCCCGGCCTCAGCATGGCCCACAGCAGCAATTGCATAGAAAGTCCTGCTCAGAACCCTGTAGCCCCTGGCTGCAGCAGGTTCAGTGCGGATGGAATCTCGTAAGTTTTTTACTTTAAAGCTCTAGCAAGTCTCTACTGAACACATGCAAACTGGGATTTTTCCAAGACTTATAACTTGGCCAAAATTGGGCAGATCTTCACAAGGATGGCAAAAGTCACAATCCTGAGAATAAGGCCAATCCATGTCAAATTTCAAGTCTCTACTCCAAAGCATGGCTATGCTTGAAGTTTTCAAAGACAAAATCACCAGAATTTTTAACATGGGCAAAACAACATACTTTCCCCTAGTTTCATTCTTGGAAAAGACTGAACTCTTTTGATGGAAATTTCCTCCCCCCTCCTCACCTCCCCAAAAAAAAAAAATATCAATACTGAGGCAGAGACCCAGCATGGAAAATTTCACCCAAACTGTTAAAGAATGGCAAAGTTATAAGCAACTGAAAACACATTCTTATAATGAAAAACAATGAGGAGTCCTTATGGCACCTTAGAGATTAATAAATTTATTTGGGCATAAGCTTTCGC